TTAAACCATTTTTCAGTGTATATTAAGGTGCATTAAGTACATTCACAGTGTTATGCAGCCACGACCACCATCCCTCTCCAGAACTTTCTCATCCTCCCAGCTGAAGCTCTGTGCCCATTAAACACCAACTCCCTGTCCCCTCGCCAGCCCCGGCAACCACCCTCCTACTCTCTGTCGCTATGGATTTGATGACCCTGGGACCCTATAGGAGTGGGATTGTAGGGGATTTGTCCTTCTGCGTCCGGCTTATTTCACGGAGCAAAATGCCCTCCATGTTCACCAGTGTTGTAGCGTGTGTCAGATGTGAACAGAATGAAGCCGTCACGGCACAGTGACCGTCACCATCATACAGTAACGTGCGCGTGCGTGTTCACCAGGGATCCGGCTACGTTCAAATCCAGCCTACATACCGTGTCCGTAACCTGGGGATCGCCTGCATTTGAGTGTTGAGGAACCAACCGCCCAACCGTTCTCCACGGCAGTTGCAGCCTTTTACCTTCCTGCCGACAGGGCACAGGGTTCCTGTCTTTCCACAGCCTCACAGACACTTGCTATTTTCCATTTTTGGGGTTTTGTTTTTTAAATTATCGTCATCCTAATGGGTGTGAGGTGATTGCACAGTGGTTTTGGTTTGAGTTTCCCTGGTGACGAGTGACCGTGAGTGTCGCCTTGTGTGTTCTGCGGCCACTGCATGTGTTCTTTGGAGACCCGCTGTGGTTGGGATTGATTTTTTTTAATGGTCAGTATTTTGATGTATTCATTGAAAATAAACTTTTTAATTTTAAAACAGATGTACGAATTGCAAAGACGGCACAGAGTACCCGTGTGTCCGATACACGGTTTCCACTATTGATGATACGTTAACACGGCACGTTTGTTACAGACAACCATGTGACACGTCGTTACCCCAAGTCCATGCTTCATTCGGATTTCTTTAGTTTTTACTTAATGCCCTCTTTTTGTCCCAGGAAACCACATCACATCTAAATGTTTTGTCCTTTTAGGCTCCTCCTGCCTGTGGCAGTTTCTGAGCCCTTGGCGACACCCTGGGCAGGCAGGTGTGTGTGTGGCAGACATGTCCAGTGACATCTGAAGTTGGGCAGGGTGGGTCCTCCTGCTGTGTTCTTTTTCAAGGTCGTTTGAATTATCCGGGTCTCCAGATATTGTGTTTCCAGATGAATGTTAAGATCACCTTTTCCGTTTCTGTAAAAAGAGCAGGCAAAACGTTAACATGCGTCGTGCCGAATCTGTAGCTCTCTGCTGGGAGTGTTATCGCCCTAAGAATATCGAGTCTTTCCATTTATTTAGGTCTTTAATTTCTTTCAACAATGTTTTGGGGTTGTCAGAGTTTAGATTTTGCACTTCATTCAATTTATTTCCAGGTGTTTTGTTCATTTTCATGTTACGGTAAATGGAATTGTTTTCTTAATTTCATTTTTGCGTTGCTCATTGCCAGTGCGTAGAAATGCGACTCACCTCTGTGCGTTGATCTTGTGTTCTGCAACCTTGCTGAGCTTGTTCATCAGCACGAATAGTTTGTGGTTTGGAGAGGGGATTTTTTGGTGGATTTTCTAGGATTTTCTACATTCAAGATCGTGTCATCTGCAAAGCGAGGTAGTTTTGCCTCTTCCCTTCCAGTCGGGATACCTCTCCTTGCTTTCCTGTCTAACTGCCCATCTGGAGACCCAGGGCAGCGTTGCCTGCAGCTGGCAAGGACGGACGTGCTCGTCTCGCTCCTGGTCTTGGGAAGACACCTGGTCTCTGCCCACCGAGTCTGTGTCACTGTGGGTTTCTCATGGGTGCCCCTCTCAGGTGGGGGAAGTTCTGTTGCATTCCTAGTTTGTTGAGCATTTTTATCATGAAAATGCTTCTTCTGTGTGAAATGAGATGGTGATACGGGTTTTTTCCCTTGATCAATATGATGTATTACATTAACTGATTTTCTTATTTTGAATCACCCTGCGTTCCTGGGATAAATCCTATTGGTCGTGAGGTAGAACCCTTTTTGTATACTGTTGGATTTGGTTTCTTAGTATTTTGTCTAGGACTTCTGCACCCATATTCGTGAGAGAAATTGTTCTGTAATTTTCCTGGAATATGTCTTTGTTCTGATTCAGGTATCGGCATCAATTAGGATTCGTGTGATGAATGTCTCATGGCTTGGCTAGGGTCAAGGCGCACACCATCACTACGGCTTGTCACTGGTGGTGCCGACCCGACCACCTGGCTGGGTGTCTGTCAGGTTTCTCCCCTGGACATGACTCTTTTACTGCCCCCCATGCCCTGCTATCTGGGGCTGTGGGGCCTGCGCCTGGGCGTGGATCAGGGTCCGGCTTCCATGTTGCTGCCTCAGAGCCTCTTGGTTACGGAGACACGGTTGCTAACAGTGTCGCCACGGCAGAGTCTGTCAGACCCCCTGGGAGGGGTGTTGTGCTGCGGGACAAGGCAGAGCACCTGTGTCCAGCACTGTCCGCCTCTGTCCCAGGAGACCGTGTCCCATCTGCTCCAGCCCCAGGCCGAGCTCGAGGGGGGGCCTCCTCCTGTCTTTGTCTCCTGTCCTCTGTGTGGCCAGGCCCTGCGCCAAGACAACCTGCTTGTTCTCATTCCTGCTGCGCCTCCTGGGCCTCTGCTTTGTCATCTGGTCTCCAGGCCACCGAGCCTCCTCCTCTTTGTCCCTTGGCTGGTGGCCAGAGGGACTTAAAGGGAGAGCCAGGCCTGCCCAAGGGTGAACCCCCTCCGTTGAGGGACAGTCCCAAAGTGGTTCTAAGACCAAGAGGACATCTGGCTAACGTTGACGTCCGTGTGTCTGTTGTGCGTCATATGAAGGCGGAAGAGATGTCCCACGAAGGTGACTCCTCTATGAGGGTTTCTGGCCCTGCAGACCCATCGGGGGTGGCGGGCAGAGGCACAAGCACACGGCCACCTCCATGGCCCATCTGACCAGTGTTCCGAGTCCCATCACCGGCCCCAGAGTGAGCACGGTGCAGAGACGTGGGGCAGGGGTCTAGGGGTCACCTCCCGCACCCGCCACCTTGCCAGGTCTTGGACCCCAGGTCTCCAGCCTGCCTGGGAGGGGAGAGCTGGCGAGACAGGGTGCTGCACTCGCCAGGCTGACTGAGATGCAGCCACATACCGTGACCCACGTTCCAAGTCGCCACCCCCGTCTCAGCCCTACTAACGCGGGCGTTGGCCTTGCAGACTGTGCAGGACGGCCGGCAGTTTCTGAAATACATCGACCCCAGCCTGGGGGTCCCGCTGCCAGAGAGGGACTACGGGGGAAACTGCCTCATCTACGACACAGACAACGAGACCGACCCCTTCCACAACGTCTGGGTAAGGGGCTGGGAGCCCTGAGGTGGGTCCCTCTCAGGTGCAGCACTGGGCCCCCCGAGGGTCAGGCACGGCGTTGGGGTGCCCAGCCATAAGGGGTTGCACAAGCTTCGTGACTGCTTGAGGTTGTCGCCCACTCGAGGGGTCTGGGCCCCGTCAGTTTAGGTGGGGCTCCCTGGGGTGGGGCACCTGCTCTCTCGGCTGTCTGGTGTGTCCCCTGCAGGGGCCGAGGGAGCGTCCCCCGGGCCTGGCAGGTGCTGCTCAGAGGTTCTGTGGTCCCAGCTGATCTGCCAGCGATGGGGGCAGCTCAAGCGGGGGGGTGGGGCTGTCGCCGAGGATCAGGCCCTGTCGCCCACAGGACAAGCTGGACGGCTTTGTTCCCGCACACTTTCTCGGCTGGTACCTGAAGGTACGGCAACCACCGCTTCTGACCCGACACCCTCAGGCCTGCTCTGCGCTCTGGGCTGTTTCTGGCCACAGGGTTGACCCTCTGTGCGCTTTGAGTGTGGTGGGTGGGTGAGCCCTGGCCGTGAGGCACTGTGCCGTCCTGAAGGGTCCGTGAAAACGCCTGGGAGCCCCAGGTCTCCCACAGGGCTGGAATGGGAGCTCTGCCCACGCACGGATCCTTGCTCTGTCCCCAGCATTGTGGGGGCTGGTTAGGGAAGGGGTAGAGAGAGAGGCAGGAAGTCCTGCCCCAGCCTGGGCTCAGGCACCACTCCTGAGCCCGGCGTCTGGCTTTGGCTGGCCTGGCGGTGGGACCAGGCCTTCCCTGTAGAGCTCAGAGCTCAGGTCCGGGGTGTGTGGATGCTGCCTCATTTGCTGAAAGTCTTAAAAATCAAGGCTGCTGGGGGGACAGCTGCCCACCTCACACGCTCTGCCTGGACCTCACCGGGGCCGGCGGCCCTGCTGGTGGGAGGTGGGGCTGGCATTCCCCAAGGGTGAGGCTTGTGTGCGGCAGACCCCTCGCACGCTCAGTGACGAGCCCCGACCCCGGCGTCCGACCCGCAGACGCTGATGATCCGGGACTGGTGGATGTGCATGATAGTGAGTGTGATGTTCGAGTTCCTGGAGTACAGCCTCGAGCACCAGCTGCCCAACTTCAGCGAGTGCTGGTGGGATCACGTAGGTGCCCTGCGCGGCCTCCCAGGGTGGTGGGCTCAGGCCGGGTGGGCTGGTGCGTCCAGGGCAGGAGGGACACGATAGGGACGGCTGTGGGCCTTGTGGGGCCTCGTGCCCCCAGCTCTGTGGGGCTGGGCGTCGCCTCCTGGTGCTGGGTGGGGGGTCCCACGGTGTCTGCCTCCCATCTGGTTCCTCCCCAGTGGATCATGGACGTGCTCGTCTGCAATGGGCTGGGCATCTACTGCGGCATGAAGACCCTCGAGTGGCTGTCTCTGAAGACCTACAAGTGGCAGGGCCTCTGGAACATTCCAACCTACAAGTATATCTGGGGAGCCTCAGTAGGGCCTGGGTGGGTGTGGTGGCTGAGGTGGCTTCTGCTGCCCTGCCTTGGTGGACCCGAGGGCCAGGCCTGTCCCGCGTGCTGCTGGCCGGGGAGGCCCTCCTGGAATCTCCACTCTGTTGCTCCGTCTGCCCCAGCACCGCCCCTTGCTTGTGGTCTCGTTACGAAGTAGTTGCACGTGCTCTGTTGTTTTTACTTTGGGATTTGAAAAAAAAGAAACAAAAGTCTAAGAAAAGTCCTGGGGCCATGCTAGGGAGGTCTCACCTCCTGTCTGTCGGTGCCCTAGGCCCACCTGCAGCCAGCGCGGAGCCCTTGGAGGGGCCAGGGCCGCTCTGGCTGGACTGGAAGAGGGTTCTAAGCAGGGGAGGGCCGTGGCAGGTGGGGCTTGTGCCTGGGTGGCTAGACCCAGTTGCTCCGCCTCTGTCCCCGGGGCTGGCGCTGCCCCACAGCTAGACAGTGGCCTGGCGGCGGCCTCGTGACCTAGAGCAGAGCAGTCCCGATGTGCAAGGTGGGGCTCCGGTAGGCCCTTGTCCTCAGGCTGATGGCTCTCTGGTCCCCAGGGGCAAGATGAAGAGGATCGCCTTCCAGTTCACGCCCTACAGCTGGGTCCGCTTCGAGTGGAAGCCCGCCTCCAGCCTGCGCCGCTGGCTGGCCGTGTGCGGCATCATCCTGGTGGTAAGGCCGGGCTGCCTTGTGGTCGTACGGCTGACCGGGCAGCCAGAGCAAGGGCTCACCCTCTTCCGCCCCCCAGTTTTTGCTGGCAGAACTGAACACGTTCTACTTGAAGTTTGTGCTGTGGATGCCACCCGAGCACTACCTGGTCCTCCTGCGGCTGGTCTTCTTCGTGAACGTGGGCGGCGTGGCCATGCGCGAGATCTATGACTTCATGGATGACCCGTGAGGGCCGCGGGCCAGGGCCGGGGTGCGGGGAGGAGGTGCGGAGGGTGGGAGGCAGAGCCTGGGTGTGGTCGCCTGGGGGGCCCCGCGGGGCTGGGGGAGCTGGGCCAGCCACTGCCCCCTCTGCAGGAAGCCCCACAGGAAGCTGGGCCCACAGGCCTGGCTGGTGGCAGCCATCACGGTCACGGAGCTGCTCATCGTGGTGAAGTACGACCCCCACACGCTCACCCTGTCCCTGCCCTTCTACATCTCCCAGTGCTGGACCCTCGGCTCCGTCCTGGTGCTCACCTGGACCATCTGGCGCTTCTTCCTGCGGTCAGTGGGGGGTCCTGGGGGGGCAGGGGTGGTGGTCTTGACGGAGGGCCCCCCGCCCCGGCCAGCTGGCACAAGCTCTGCCACAGTCTGTTTAATTGGCGTTTGAGCAGCTGGCCCTGCCCGACCGCTGGCTGCCGCTGTGCAAGCTTCCCTGGGGCAGCCAGCCTCGGCCCCTCCAGAACCCTGGGGTCCTAGGGGCTTGGCCTTGTGACCTCTGAAGGCACGAAGGTGCCCGGGTGTCCACGGGGCCTGCACCGGGGGCTGGTGCGGGAGCAGGTGTGATTAGGCCTCCCTGCCCCCACCCCCAGGGACATCACCTTGAGGTATAAGGAGACCCGGCGGCAGAAGCAGCAGAGCAGGGGTGGCCCAGACAGAGCCGTTGGCAACGGGGACCAGCACCCGCTGGGGCTGGACGAAGACCTGCCAGGGCCTGAGGTGGCTGAGGGGACGGGGGAACCAGCTCCAAACTGATCTGCGCCTCAGCCACCCCGGGAGCCTCCCAGAACCCAGGCCCGCTAGGAACCGCTGCCGGGCCTCGCCCTGAGGTTTTGTTTTCCTTCCTCCTGTGCCCTCCACTCAGCAGGGATCGAGGAGGGGGTGAAGGGAGCCCCGCCCGGCTTCATCTACGTGTGTGCATGTAAGCGTGTGCACACGTGTGTCCTTGGCTCCGGGGCTTGCCCCAGGGCAGCTGGTTCCCCTGGAGTGGGGGTCCCTGCTCCCCTCCTGCCTGCTCAGCCCAGTGGCCTCTGGCTCCAAGTGCCCCGTCACCCAGCCCTGGCACGGCCTGGCCCTGGCACCGCCCGCCCTCTCCACGCCCCTTGCCCCAGCTGCTCTGAGGCAGCACGGTGGGGCCAGACGCCCCTCCTGGCGGCGTGTGTCGGAGGACAGTCATCCACACTCGGTGGCTGAGAGGCGTCGATGTGGGTGGCAGCACTGAGCCACTTCCTCGAGTCTTCGTTGGGCAGATGGACCTGCCGGCGTGTGGATGGTGTCGGAGGCTACTGGACTGGTTCCTCAGGGGACACTGAGTCAGAAACTCCACGGGCCAGAGGCCAGGAACTGGGTGCTGGGACCCGTGTCCATGGCTCCCTGAGTTTAGGGTCATCCCCACGAGCAAACAGAATAAAGTGGCGACGAAGGTCTGCAGCCGCCTCCTCCCTGGGAAACCTCGAAGCAGCGGGGCCCGCAGGTCGGCTCCGCCTCTGCCCAAGGCCCCCTGAACTGCGGTGGGTGCCTGTGCAGGATGGGACGCCAGGGCCACCTCCCCGCCCGCTGCATCTGTCCCCGGCTGTGGGATGGGGCTGGGGACCCGCTGGGCAGTGGCCACAGGGCTCTTGGGAGGGGCAGCCACCTTCTCAAACCTTACCATGAAAATTTTCAAACGCACGTGAAGAGGCAAAAGTACAGCGGAAAATTCCGCCTTCCGTGAGCTGACGCTGGAACGTGGGGTGCGCTTGAGAACTGCACCCCAGATGCCTCTGCCCTGCCCAGCACCCAGCCGGGCCCTGCCCAAGAGCCGGCAGGTCGGTCCCTCAGCGGTTTCCTTGAGTCTTCGTTGTGTCCCCGAGGCTGTCCCACCGTGGGCCTCTGTGGTCCTGCACGGGCCAGGGTCACGCCAGCTGCCCTCGTGCTTCCCTGGAGCTGCTCGACACACTCTCAGCGCCCCCGGGAGGCATGTTCTGCTCCCCTCACGTGTGGCAGCTTCGACCCCTTGGTGAGAGTGGCTGCCCCGCCTCCCCGCTGCAGGGACAGGCCCCCTTGGCCACCGTGGACCCTCTGGGCTGCACCTGGGCGGGTGGAGATGGCGCCTTGCTGGGGGGCACGGCCCCATCCCGTCCTCACTTGTCCCAGCTCTGATGTCCGAGGCTACGACCCACTCCAGGCCCACCTTGTGCCCCAGGCCCGGGTCACCCTTTTCTCCTCTGAATAGGGGATCGCATCTGTCATAGAAACGTAAGATCGTGGGGCACCTTAACAGGCGTCACAGCGGCAAACCTGAAGTGTCCGCCCAGGCACTGGGCCCTCCGAGGGCTGATGAGTATCCCGCAGGCCTCGCGGAGCAGCCCCCTCCTGACGGTGCAGGTCACCCCTGGGCTGCCCGCCCTGGGCAAGACGAGGCCAGCGGGGCGGAGGTGCACCCGCCCACCCCCTCCAGAGAGCGCACAGCTGACGGGGCTCGGGCAGGAGGGGAGGCGGGCGGTGCTGAGGCCCGGGCTGCAGGCGGCCAGGCCAGGGCAGCTCCCCGCAGGCCCCCAGCGTGGTGGGAGGTGGGCGTCACTGACAATGGCAGCAAGGGGTGAGACCTGCTAGCCCTGCGCAGTGCGGTCTCCTCAGGGGGCCCCATAAGGAAGGACGGGCACCCTCCTGCCACGAAAGTGCTTTAATGATTATAAAGTGTCTAAAATGTTCTAAAATAAGTTGATTTAAGCGTTTCTCTCCAGGCAAAGCTAGGACACCCACAGAGTGAGCCCCCCGGGGAGCTGGTCCACCCTGTGGTGGGCTGAGGCCGCTGTCCAGAGAGCAGGTTTAGGAGCCCGGTGGCCAGCGGTGCTCTCAGGAGATGATCCTCAGGGATGGCTTGTCCTCCTCCAGGGCCCTCAGCTGGTTGTCCATCTCCTCAGACCAGTAGATGTCGTACAGGCTGCGCACGGGCGGCAAAGGGCAGTGGGCTGGGTGTCCCCGCCAACCCCCCCACCCCGGTCTGCCTGAGCCCCGCGGCCAGGCGTCCACTCACACCAGCTGCTCCAGGGCGCAGGCCGGCTGCCGGAGGCTCTCTATGAGCTGCAGGACGCCCGGGTCTCCCATGCAGTTGTTGCTGAGGTCCAGCTCGCGCAGGCTGCGGTTGGCCAGCAGGGTGGAGGCGAGGCTGCCGCAGCCACCATCAGTCACCTCACAGTCCCCTATCCTGGGAGGAGCAGGGTGGAGGTCAGGACCAAGAACAGGCCGCGGGACCTGGGCCTGAGTTGCCACCAGACCACGGGATGGTGACAGAGGCCCGTGCCCGGCATGCCCGAGGACCCCGAGATGGGCCTGCGCGGGGTTGCTCCCCCAGTTCAGCCTGGCAGCGGTGTCTCAGTCCCCGTTCAGCCCCAGGCACATGAAGCCCCAAATACAATGACGGAGAGGATCACAGTGGATTAGGGATCAGGACAGCAGAGTCCTTCCCAGAAGACAGAAAATGACACGGCAGCCCCGGCCAGCGTGCGGCCCAGGACCCCACCCTCAGCCAAAGGCTCCAGAGTTACTCCACAGCACGCTTCTTGGGAAGCTGCCAGAGAAGGTGCTTTAGCAAGAGTCGGGGAGACCCGGACAGACACCAGCCTTCACGTGTGGGAACCCCTGACTGCGCTCACTGTTAAAACAGGAGGCACGCGCGCACGCACCAGAGCACCCGCAGCACGGAGCTGGGCTGGCGCAGGCCCTGGCCGAGCTCACGCACGCCCGCGTCGCCCAGCTTGTTGCTGCTCATCTGCAGCTCCAGCAGGGACTTGTTCTGTGCCAGCACCGAGCTGAAGTGGGGGCAGCACGCGGCGGTGAGGCCGCAGGTCTTCACCCTGTGGACGGGTGAGGGTTGGGCCACGGCTGCACCAGCCCTTCCCCCCGGCCCCCAGCACCCCCTTGCCAGGCACCCCCAGGCCACACCCCTCCCAGGCAGGACGCAGGGTCAGGGCTGAGCCGGCAGCCCCAGCGCCGCGCCGCTCCCCTCTCGGGGCCTCACCACAGCGACTCCAGCTGGCAGCCGGGCTCCAGCAGGCTCTCGCACAGCAGCCGGGCGCCCGCGTCCCCCAGCTCGTTGCCCGACAGGCTGAGCTCCTTGAGGCTCTCCTTGGCCCTGAGGACGCGGCACAGCTCCCGGCAGCCCTCGGCGGTGATGCCACACTCCCAGAGCCTGCGGGGCACCGACATGCTCTACGGATGTTCCTCACCGGCACTGGGCGTGGGGAGGGCTCCCGGGACAACCGTACCCCGTGGGAGGCCGACTCACCACAGAGTCCTGAGCCGGGAGCTGGGCCGCAGCAACCCGGAGCACAGCTCCGCCAGCCCCGCATCGCCCAGCTGGTTGCTGCCCAGGTCCAGCTCCCGCAGCGAGGCCTTGGAAGCCACGACGCCGCACAAGTCCCTGCAGTTGGCTGCTGTGACACCGCAGCTCTCCAGCCTGGGACACAAGATGTGTGTGGGAGCAGGGAGCCCCCCCCAACCCCCACCCCCACCCGGCCCTGCACCTACTTGAGCGACTCGAGCTGGCAGGTGGAGTCCTGCAGGCCCTGGCACAGCACGCGGACGCCAGCCTCGCCGAGGTCGTTGTTGCTCAGCATCAGCTCCTTGAAGTCCGGCTTGGCCCTGAGCACCGAGGCCAGGGGCTCGCAGCTGGCAGCCGTGAGGTTGCAGTACTCCAGCCTGGGGCAGGCAACCGGGTCTCAGCCCCCAACGGGACCAGCTGAGGGGTGAGCCACCAGGGCGCCGCCTTGGGAGGTGGTGTCCCCTTAGCATCGTGGGAGCGCCGAGGCCCAGAGACCCGTCATCAGGGCTCAGGTCAGGGATGCCCAGAGCTCCAGCCACGTGGACACTGGAAACCCTTCACCAACCAAGAGGCCACCTCACACCCCAGGGCTCTGCCAGACCCGGGAGAAATCATCACTCGTGGTGGCCGGGCCACCTGACACAGCCGGCATCGGTTCCCGCCATGGGGTCCCAGGATGGCTGCCTGCTCCTTGCAGAGACAACTGGACAGGGAGGTGGGGAGACGACGGAGCCCCCAGCCGCAGGGCCACGGGGGAGGAGCACCGCAGGGCCCTGCGACCCCAGTCCCCTCCTCAGGGTTCCCTGCAGCCCGTGTGCCGTGGAGGGGCAGCAGGGGCCGGCCCCAGGCAGAGCACACACTCACTGCAGCCTTTCGAGGTGGCACCGGGGGTCCAGGAGTCCCTCGCAGAGCAGCCGCAGGCCCGCGTCCCCCAAGGGGTTGTCGCTGAGGTGCAGCTCGCGCAGGGTGGGCACAGAGCGCAGCACGCCGGGCAGGACCCCACAGCCGGCCTCCGTCAGGCAGCAGTTCTGCAGGCTGGCGCACACCGGCTGTCAGGGCCTGCCCACGGGCCAGGTCTGTGCCTGCTCCTTCCCTGGGCAGGCTCTGGTCTGCAGGCCGGGGGCTGTGGGAGGCTGTGTCTGCAAAGCCCCTTGTCAGCAGGGTGGCGCCGTGACGCCCAGGGTGACAGGAGGGGCCCTGTCCCCGCACAGTGTGGACACCACCCCCCGTGCCTCTGGCTGAAGACATCGCACCCGCAGCCCCCGCCTGCCCTGGGCAGGGCCCCACCTCACCTCAGCTTCTGGATCTTGCAGGTGGGGCTCTGCAGGCCCTGCAGCACCAGGCGCACGCCGGCGTCACCCAGCTCGTTGGTGCGCAGGTTGAGCTCGGTCAGGGCAGGGTTGGCCCGCAGGGCGGAGCTGATGTCCCGGCACTGCACCTCCGTGAGGCCACAGTCATCCAGCCTGCAGGCAGGACCCCGGGAGTCACCATGTGGCCCACCCCACACGCAGGGTGTGGCCCGTCAGTGGGCCAAGAAATCAGCAAGATGGGTCACACAGGGACATTTCAAAAACGAAACAAAAAGCAGGGAACTGTTGTACAAAACTTCTGTTTAAGGTGCTCAACCACGTACAGATGTGTGTCTGGGCATAATGTATTCTCCATGTCCTGCTGTGGGGCACAGAGCACGAGCGCGCCTGGTCTGTCTAGAGGTGACAGCTGGGGGAAGTGCTTGGGACAGGACACAGCAGCCGACGGGAGGGGCTCCTAGCAGAGCTGCGATGCGTGAGCAAAAATAAACAATGATGTTCGATACTAACTCAGCAAAGTAAGTGTCTTCAAGTCATCCCGAGTAAATGAATACATGCATGACTACAGGTGGGAGGAAAGCCAGCTCTTGTTCACAAAGGAACGTTGGCTGATAAATGTGGAGGGAACGGCAGAATTACAATACCACGCAATAACCGTTCAAGTACGAGCCACCGACGCTGCTGAAACCAGCAGGCAAGAGTCTGCGCAGAAACAGTGTTGGCAGAATCTCAAAGTGCCTCCCCTGACGCTGGCCAGTGACCAGGGAAGAACAGCAGCTGCATGGGGGAGAAGCCCGGCAGACACTCAGGTGGCTGCGTGGTGCCACGATGGGCCCACGAGCACACGCCGGCAGGACCCAACAGCAGTCTCCGCGTTCCTGCCAAAAACGTGTGACTTCAGCCACGGGAAAAGCCCAGACAAGCCCAAACGGAGGGAGTCCGCAGGGGCCTGGCCACGCGCAGCTGTCAGAGCACCGGGGCATGGAGGGACGGGGCCGTCACGGATGGGAGGGGCTGAGGGGACGGGAGGAGCAAACGCCACGTGGAATCCTGGACTGACCAGGGACAGGGAAAGGACGTGGTGGGAAAGCGGACTCGCGCCTGCAGCTGGACGTGCGTGGCCAGCGCTAGCGTCTCTGTTTGCCGAGTGCCCAGCTGCCGCGAGATGCTCTCATCGCGGGAGGCTGGGGAGGGTGCACGGGAGCCCCATGCTACCTTCCTGTCTCTTCTGCAGATCTGAAACTACTTCAGATAACACATTCACGGTGAGGACTGCGCAGGCACCTGTCTCTTGCTGTGAAACCTCTGGCATTGCTGGGTTTGTGAGAACTTTGAGCACAGAGGCCAGTCTGACTTGGCAGCGCCAGGCAGCACCTCCACAGCCACGGACCGGGGCGCCTCAGCCCAGTCCCGCCCCCGTGTTCCCAGAGGAAGGGAGGAGCCGAGCCCATGGGGCCAGAGACCCCACCAGGCAGCCCCAGCCTGTGTCTAGAATGGGTTTTACATTTCTAAATGGTTGGAAAAAGCACAGGAATAACCTTTCATGCCACGTGAAAATTACACGAGATTCACGTTTCACGTCCATAGACAGTGCTCCCGAGCACACACCCACCTGTGTGTCTGCCGGGGCAGAGGCCAGCGATCTGGCTGCCACGTGGGAGCCACTACCCGGAGCCCACGCCCACAAGCCTGGCCCCGCCAGCACCCACGAGGCAGCCCAGGGCCTCACCTGACCACTTGGCTCTGCTGGATCCGCGGGAGGAGCTCTTTCCACCTGGTGTCACTCAGCTGCTCACACTGGATGTCCAGACTCATGGTGGAGCTGAGGTGTTGCCTGCGTCAGAGAGAACGTCTCAGCCAGATTCTCCCAAGCTTTGACAGGCCAGAGATTCTGCAAAGGGGGAAAAAAGCCCAAACAGGACCCCAGTGGGGCTGGTGCTTCGGGAAGAGCCATAGCCTCCCGTGGCAGGGGCCTGCTTTGCTCCCTGTTGTCACACTCTCCCGCTCAGCCTCCCCGAGTGGACGTCGCGGCAGAGGCTGCGCTTACCAGCTCCCCTGGCAAAGGCCACCACAGGCAGGAGCCTCGCCGCCCGCCCACATGCCCTCGGTGGGCACCTCTGGCCCAAGAGAAGGTGGGGACGGCAAGTCTGGCCCAGGAAGCCCCTGCCTCTTATTTGCCTGGACAAGGGCAGGGTGGGATGGGGTGGTCTGTGGGCCTGGAGACCCCCGGGGAGCACAGGGGCTGTGGAAACCCTCCCTGTCCGCTTGGCCTGCATCTCGCTGAGGACAGGAGGGTCAGGCTCCCACTTGGCCACGGACCCTCAGGATCCTGGACTCCAGGAGCCCACAGGCAGCCTGGGCAAGACAGGGTAGGGTGTTTTCGGGTGCCCACTGGGGGCACAAGCTTCCATGACCCCCTTCTGGGCTGGGGACATCCTCTGGGCCAGCCCACAGAGAAGCCAGGCTGCCAGGCAGGCTGGGTTGCAGGCCCCAAAACCTCACCAGGGACAAGCTCAGAGCCTGAATGAAGGAGGCGGCACTGCAAGGGTGTCCCTGAGGACCAGGCCAATAGCACAGCACAGGTGCCCTGCCATCAGAGCACCGTGGGACGTCCACCCACGCCAGCTCCAGCACATGCCGCTGGCGGGCGGACATGTTCCCTGAGCAACCACCAAGCAGTGGCTGGGGACAAGGGCTGGGCAGAACCCACCCCGGGTGTATGGACACCTGGAGAGGTATCCGGGGACAGCCAAGGAGGGCTCCCTGGACAAAGTGACCCATGATGCCGACACTGGCCGAGGGGCAGCTGGGTTTCATTCAGAAGCCGCAGAAAGCCCAGGAAAGATGCACTGCAGGGCATGACGCAACTCCAGCCGCCTTTGCACACGTGCCAAACAGGATGATGCAGCCTTGCGTGAGTTCCTGGTTCCCCGAATCTCCCGGCTTCCTGAAAGCGCTGCTCTCTCTCCTGTTTTGCCCGTGCCTGGCACGGCCTGGCCTTGCTGCAGGGGCCCTCCCCACTCCCTTCCCAGGGCTGGTCAGGGTGACAGGGACGGTGGCCAAAGTGGAGGGAGAGGCCCTGGTGCCAACCAGGAGGGAAGACATGCTCACACAGGCCTGCAGAGGAAACTGAGGCAAGGGCGCCAGTAACTCACAGGGTCACCCAGCCCACTGCCCAGAGCACAAGAACAAAACCAGCCCCGCCTGGGTGGAGGCCTAGGGAGGCCAGGGTGTGGTCACCCAAACAGACTGGAATTCACAGGCAGTGACAGTCATCTCCTGACACACTGTGGGCGTGGGGGCGGGAGGGGCCGCAGGGCTGCCGATGGAAACTGTGACCCTTCCCTCCCCACGGGAGGACCTCCAGCCCCAGCACCCGCTCCCCAGTCCAGCCTGGGAGCACCGCTGCCTTCTGCACCCCAAGCGTCTTCCTCCTGGGACAGCACGAGGGCCTCTCCCGCTGTGGTCTGGGATGAAGGACACGGATGGGGCGTGGAGGTGGCGGCTGAGCCCGCACGCCCTGGGCCAGACCCTGCCGGCTGGGCCCTGGGACCAGGAAGACGCCTCTTAACGCGTGGCTCTCTGATGCCAGAGAAGCCCGTGGATGCCGCGTGTGCGACCTTCTCTAGACGCTACGAGGCCCCACAAGCGGGTAAGGGCACGTTTCAGGCCCACGGGGGAACCAGCGCCCCGGCTGGGCTGCGGCCCGAGTTGGTCCGTCCGGGACCCGGACCGCAGTGGACACAGGCCTCGCTGCCGCCCCTGCGCCCCGGGCGGGCCGTCTGGGAGGCACGGGCCACGCTCGGCGGGTCCCGCGGACCTGCTAGTTCTGGACGCTCCGCCGCGTATCAGCAGGCCCGGGGGACCCCCAGAAAAAGCACGCAGGGGGCGCCCCGGACGCTCACCTGCGCGCAGAGCCAGGCCGCCGCGGCGCTCCTTCCGCCCAGGCCGGGCGGGGGCGGGGCTCCGGGAGGGCGGGGGCGGGGCTCCGAGCCCCAGGGGCGTGTCCGCCGTGGGGGCCCCGCCCCGCCCCGCCCCGCCCTGCCCTGCCCTGCCCTCGCCCACCCGACGCTCTGGCCCGCGCGCTGCCCCCACCCCTCCGGGCCCTTGCCCAGACGCCAGCGAAGCCCTGGCCGCTTTCCGCCAGGGGCGGCAAAAGCACGTCCCGTCCCACGTCCCACTTTCTGGCCCCAGCCGGCCTTTCAATTTTATCTCCAGAACCAGCGCCTGTGCCCCCCGCCCCAGGCCGTCCTGCCAGCAGGGAGGCAGCCCTGAGTCCCCTCACCGGGACCCCCGCCCTCATGGGGACCCCCCACCCTCGCCAGGGACCCCCAATCTGCCGCCTCCCACGAGCAGGCCGGACTCCAGGAATTCCCCGGAACACAGAAGTAAAACCCACCCGAGACACCCCTTTTTGCTGCCAGACTGGAAGAGATGGAAAGGGTAACAATAATTTGTTGTGGCTGACGGGAAGTGGGGGAGACCGTGATAGGGCTTTTTGGAGAACAATCTGGAACTGTGTAAAACATGCACACGCCGCTCCGTTTCTGTGTATCAGGCAACAGAAACATTCAGCAGTGAGCTTAGAAGACATGCTCAGGAATGTCACAGCATTTTGTGACTATCCAAACCTGGAAACAATCCAAAGAGCCATCAGTAGGAAAATGGTTAAATACTTTGACACACCACACCCTGCCGGTAGACAAGACTACTACATACAGGAAAAGATCTCAGGGTAGGCGGTTCATGCGGAGCAAGACTCAGATTAGAGCGCTATGCTTGCAAGAACCGAGGTGGGCACTGCCCCAGGCGCCCAGCCCTCCTGCACACACAGGCCCAGGCTACTCATTTATTCAAGACGTCCCCCCACGGACCTGCAGGCGTCTTAGAACACGGGAGCTCTGTGTGTTCCCACTGTGCAGCCATTCATCCATCCAGCGAATGCTTACTGGACACCTGCTGTGTGCCAGGCACGGTCATAGCAAAACAGGCAAAGGTGTCAGATCCCAGGAACTTACAGTCAAGGGGAGGAAGTACAGAATTAAAATGGGGAGAGTGCGAGGTGGGGGCAATTACTGCAGGGAAAGGGGGATCAGATGTGCTGGGGGGGAGGGAGGAGGTGAGGCCTGGCAGGGCGGGAGCTGGTGGGACAGGAAGGGGACTGGAGAGTGGTTGCAAAGGCACCGGACACAGTGCTCACTGCAGACCTGGCTTAATCTTCATGGCTGGAGCCAGGAGCTGACCAGTGGCCTGAGGGTCCGGTTCTTTTGGGTTGTACGGTGAAGGGTTACTCAGTATGGGGAAGAAAATTTGGCTGGGCCAGCCCTTGCTTGTTGCCCTAGTTTGCTGGGTGCAACAAAGGGGTGGGGATCACCAACTCAGGGTCCAGGGTTCCAGGAGAGCTAGTGGCTGGGCAGGGACAGTCCACACAGGTACAGACAACCCCAGGCACCTGCAGGCCAAGGGTGTGTCCAGGGCCTGCCAAGGTGCTCAGGACAAGTGGAGTGCAGACAGCATGCTCTCCTTCCACCCTTACGCAGGAAAAGGAGGGCTACTGCAGCCTGGGGAAGGGTGAGAACACAGGGAGAAAGGGATTAGGGGAAGGCTACGGAGGGGGCCTCTGAGTGCACTAGAGCCCCTGCCAACTTTCCTTTCTTCCTTTCTTTTAGAGTGCAGTGGCATGATCATGGCTCACTGTCACCTCAAACTGCTGGACTCAAGCAATCCTCCTGCCTAGGCCTCCCAAAGCTCTGGGACTACAGGCATGAGCCATGGTGCCCAGCCAACTTTAACATGGTTTTTACCCCACAAGCAGTATGTGCTTCTTGTAGAAAAATCAGAAGACAGAGATAAGAAAATGAAAAGCTCTAGAATCCTCATCTTCCAGAGATAAGCACTCTGACATTTGTGTATGTGTTGATACACCTTGTCTGTACACAACACACATTTTTAAAAATAAAAATGCCACATCAGGTATGGTAGTCAGAAGAATGGCTCCAAAAGGTGTCCTGGTCCTAATCTCCACACCTGTGAAGTCATTTTATATAAGGGAAAATGAAAATCTCAGGACCATCCCCTAACTCCTCAAGCAAATGAAGCTCAGGCCCAGAGGCTCAGTCCGCAACACCGTCTTCCACGTGAACAGCTGCTACTAACATCACATCAGCCAGATCCCAGGGCAGGTAAAGGCCTCAGGCATCTACAAGGGCTGTCCCCACAGATCACTTACAAGGAAATTCTTTGCTGGCCTCCCATAAACAAGGACTTGCTAATTGTAACTTTGGGTCTATAGTCTAAGTTTAGCTCCTGAAACTAAAGTCTGTTCAATTCGTCCACCCAAATAAATGACTGAGGCAAAAATCTCAATCGATAGAGGTTTATTAAGCCAAAATTGAAGACTGGACCAGGAAAAACACAAACCAAACCACAGGCAGTTACAGGTTTATCTTCCCAGATGCAGAACAGAGACGAGATGAGATCATTCCTCCACCTACCAAGGGACATCTACCTAGCGGATGCTTCCTTCGTTCCTTTTCTCTTGTAACATTTGCCTATCTTATGTAAAATACAGATTTCCTGGGCCTCAAAAGAATGTGACCATTTGTCTCACTACCCACTCCACTCCTCCTGTTTTCTTTCTGTAAGCCCTGTCCCTTTAAAAACTGAGTTCCCAAATCACACTTGGGAAAAACAGTCACCGATAGGACTGTGGTTTGTGTTTTTCCCGGGCTTGGGAAAATCAATGGAGGCATTGATTAAGATCTTTGCCTCCGTCACTTAGAGTTGTCACTTACGTGGCAAAATGGACTTTGCAAAAGTGACTCAGTTCAAGATTCTGAGATGGGGAGGTCATCCTGGGGTATCTGGGTGGGCCCAGTGCACTCAGTGTCCCTATAAGGACGGAGGCAGACACAGCGGTTCGAAGGTGGAAGGCAGCCTCTAGAAGCTGGAAAAAGTAAAGTAGCAGATTCCCCCAGAGAACTTCCAGGAGGAACCAGCACTGCTGACAGCTTGATTTTAACCCCCTAAAATTCATTTAGGACTTCTGACCTCCAGAAGTGTAAAATAACACATTGGCGGCAATTTTGTTAGAGCGGGGATTGCAACTGCTATAATAACCCTCACTTAAGAATGTATACAAAGAATGTATACAATGTAACTTTTAATGGCCACATTGTGTGCAAACACCGTATTCCTCAGCCAAGCTCTACATGTGGACATTCAGACTGTTCACAGGTGTTCAGGCTTTCCACCACCCCGGAAAGGGGCCTGCCTGGTGCTAAGGTCAGACTGCCCTCCAGCTTCCGCCGACCCGCGGGCGCCCCGCTGTGCGGTACCAGTGCTCAAAATGCCTGGGCCCCTTTCCCCACCGCAGCCAACCCCGCGACAGTCCTGACGCCCAGGCCTGGTTCCGCTCCCCTACGCACCGGGGCCGCCCGAGGGCCCAGACCACCGGGGACGTGCGCGCGACCCCCGAGGCCCCGCAGGACGGGAGCCCGCCCGCCAGCGCTCCGGGCGGGACGCGGGTGAGTCCTCTGCCCCGGCTGTCCTTCCTGGGGTCGGCTCTTTGGGCAGCAAGGCCAAGGCCACGCCACGCGAGAAGAGAGCTGGGCGCGGCACGCGCAGCCCCGGGCTCCCACCCGCAAGAGGAACAGGGGCCGCGCGGGGACGAACCACGCAGGCGCGGACCCGCCCCCCGCGACCGGACTCCCGGCGTGCCCCGGGAAGGCGCGATGACGCCATTGGGCGCGCCACGTCCGCGAACGCCCCGCCCCCGCCCGGC